TTCAAGGGGTCAAGGGGTGGGTCGAAAAGTCAGGGCGAGGCCCGAATTTGAGTAAAGTTGAGCAATTAGTCGATGTCCTACCGATTGTTCTCCGGGGACATTCCCTCGCTAATGTTCATACTGTATGCACAGTCTGGGCTGATAGATTCTACCATAAGCTCTGATAGCGTCCAGCCATGATATACGTACGAATAAATGAATTAATAAACCATCAAGTATGTGAAGATATACATAGTTTCTGTACGTATGAATAAATAAATAAATAAATAAACAACAAAGTATGTCAACATGAGTTAGATAGTCAGTTAGTCATGGACTGCGATGCCAGATTTTCCTCTGGAATACTTCAGAAAATCTTCCTATTGAGCCATAAAAACGTGATCTTAAGTGCATTTTGGTGGCATTCTATTATGAACTCAATGGTAGCCCTAGTGCAACGAGACTGGCGTCATTCTCTTGTGTACTTCAGGGTCCATTGGACATTCACTCTTTGGAATGGTTCTGGAAACTTGAATGAGTTGTGTGATGCTCCATTGCTGCTTGCTAAATGAGCAACGCTTAATTATTATGCAAATCATGAGCTCGCCCCGTTAGTCAAAGAGTGCATGCGGCTGAGCAGCATGGAAAAACACTGCTCACAACAAAAACAGCTCTCCTCTCAAACGAGAGCAGTCAAATCTTTTGCTAGGGCAATTCGCAGACAGCTGACTGGCTAGCTGTATGAATTCAGGACATCCATTGAATCGGTAACAGCTCCAAGTTTCTCCTATGAATCGCCCTCAAATGAATAAGGGCGAGGAGGGGAGCTTTTTGAAATCCGAAGCGTGAATCGATCCTATTTGGGGGATGCGCCATGCATCCAACTTCCCTTGCCAGTCGATGTGCAAGACAGTGTTCTTATCTTCCCAGGCGAGTTTTGTGTCAAATAACCGACACAGGGAATGGAAGGCTTAGCTTGCATAGGCGGATGTTGACCTTAATTCGATATGAGGATGACATCCATGATGTGCGCCACTGTGCACTATACCACTGCTCCCATATATGCCCTCAAATGCACCCTACCTCATTGTTAGGAGGGCTTTTGGAGCGGAAGAAAAGTCTATAGCCTACGCTATGACTTTGGACGTTTTCTGGGATGAAAACTAACGTAACGGCCATTGACATTCGATCGACGTGAATGCTAACCATAAAGGATATTTATGGGGTCTGCGCCATCTTTTTTCATCCACAATTTGTTGGTATCTACCAACGGCAGCTGTCGAATGAGTCAGCGAGCCGAATTCCAATAAAAAAACCGAACAGCTGGTCCATTAAAGATAAAAGTTGGTTTTTTGGGAGAAACGATTCCATTCGTGGGATTTCCCCACGCATTCGAGTTTCGCTCAGAAGGGTGGGGACATTTGAATGGATATTCGGTTAAGAGATTACCCGCCGAGGGGCAGCAAACGAAGTGGAAATCTTTCCAGACCACCCCGGTACTGGCCAACCGACCGATTCGTAATCGGTAAAAATAACGAAGTGACCATGTAGCTATAGTGGTCCCAAATTACTTGGGTAATAGTGTAAATAGAAGTATTCAGAAGAATTTGGGCCTTTTTGCCTCCGTGTGCCCCCCTGAAATTGGTTAAGGGGCCAGAAACGCATACAAGCGCTACTAAGATCCCGAATAGATCCTGATTGCTCTGGCGCATCCCAAAATCGTTACCGATTAGCGCTAAAAGCTGATAATTTTTCATTAGCTTCCTGGTTAGCCATTTGAAGCAAGCTTCTGGGTCACCACCTGGAACATTAGTTATTACTGCATTACTTATAGGCTTCAAATGGGTTTATTGGAAACCTTATAATTGAGAAAAACCATATGACCCATGTGAATGTACTGGGAAATTAATGCTCATGGATGCAAGTCCCAGTGGGAGGCCGAGGACTCGTGATTGCCCATATTTTTCCCTCAGAAAGAAACGAATGAGAGGGTTTCTAATGACATATTTATCCATGTAATTAGGGGTCCCACAGGTTTCAGATTTCAATCTAGATTGAATTTGGCAATTCCAGAACGATTTTCGATAGCTTCTTTCATATTTATGCTTGCTCAGCTCATTTTGATTAGATTCCCTCTTTGATACCCCCTCCCCCTCTCTAATTGATCGGGGATGTTTCCCATCTGAGAATTTAGTGCGTCGGGTAGGGAACTTAGCTAACTAATTCAATAAATAAATTTAGCCAACTACATAAGACCGAGAATTGAAAAATCTCCTTCACTTTAATAATATATAGTTTAGTTAACAAGTCTTTGTTCAAATGAATTGCCGCGTATACAGCAATTACCCGTTCAAATGCATCTCAAATCAAAGATGAAGTTGGACGCATGGCGCATCCCGGAGGGCTGATTATTTGATAGCCTGATATTTTGAATTTTTATAGAACAACGAATTAGCGCTATTCATTTCATAGGAAAGCCGCTAGTAAAATTTCTATTAAAAGCTGAACCTATGACTCATCCAGGGGAAGTTGATTACTGGTATCCTCTCGTTGCTTTTAATATAACTATTTTCTATGAATTCCGTAGTAATTTCCGGGAAAAACTGCTTCTGAGGGGGAATTTCAATTGAATTCTGCAGCCATCTGAAATACTAGATGTCCTTATTAACAAGAAGCTACTAGTAATAGGTTTCCTAGCAGTAGACATCCATACGTAGCCATGCGCTCACAGTGTTGCCTCAGTCCTCAGTCAACAATCAAGTAAATATCTTTTTCAGTCTATTTCAATAATTTTTTTNCACAATATCACAGTAGACAGTTCTTAGGCAAAACTTCAGTCTCAGACAGGGCTCGAACCCGTACTTGTGCTAACTCCAAGTCAATTTCAACTAGTAATAGTAGTCACTTTCAAGTTTTTGTCGCTAGTACTATCCAGGGAATCTGCCAATGTCAGGGATCCATTCACGAAAACAATTATAATAGTTGAAATTTGTGTGAAAAATGTATTAAAAAGGCATAAAACAATGCATTAATTTCAATTATGTGATACTATTCTATCATTTTATTTTATATCAATTTTTATATTTTATTTTATATTTTTTATATTTTTTATATCATTAATGATAGAAAATTTCGTTCTATTTTTATGCATTTGCTCTCCATATTGATTTGATTATGGGCGGGAGGATATAGTGGCAAGAGGTGCACTGTCACAAACACATGGCCACGGGCTCGCATCCAGGGTCGATATCCGCCTAGGCCAATCAAGCCTTCCATCCCTCCGGAGTCGGTTAATGGTACCAGATTGTCTGATGAGAGGATAAAAGCACTGACTTGTCCAATGGCTGGCCACCGCAAGCCATTGCATAGGCCATATACGCACTCATTACGCCACTATGTTTCTGAAAGGAAGTCGAGTGCAGAGCGCATCTTTCAGACAGCCTCGATTACGTCAAAGCATATATCGTTACGTTTGGGTTTGCAAATTTAGTTACAATTCAAACTTTATAGGAGACTATTGGAAATATTCTAGTAATTGTGAGTTAACCCAATGGTTACCCTCTACTTTCAATTAAAATTCACAGGATTCAGGGCCATGATTTGTGGAAGCAAGTTAAAAAACTAGTTTTCTGCTACCTAGTAAACGATTTGCAAGTTTTCCGTTGGCAATTATCTCTTGATGACATCACATATCCGCTTATCCGTACACCAAGGGCTTAACGTTCTGGAATATACTCACGAGGGATAAGCAGCCCGATGAGCTCAAAGCAGCCGTTTTTGGCCGGCTGAATTTGTCACGTTTTTGGGAGGTGGCCATTTTGCAAAATTTTTGAAATAATTAGTCTCTAAGCTTCTGAATTCTCTGAAAGACGAGGGACGTTAGGGATTGTTCGGTGTGGCTCGCGATTGCGGAAAAAGTAAAAAAAAATAAAAGAAAAAGGAAGTAAAATTTAGGGTAGAGGATACCATAAAGAGATAGCATAAGAGCAGGGGTTACGAAGGAGGGTGGAAGAGGAGCAGGTGGGAATGAGAACGATCTTTTTCCAGGTGCTGAATCGTTAATGGTTCCACTGTTTTCCCACTGATTCGTTTACCTCTTTTTTATAATTTCATTTGTGCAAGATTATAGTTCACTCTCCCGTTCAACAATTGTTTGGCCCATATGCAGTTCTTTTAGTACCCCTGGACACCTTATCCCCCAAAACTAACGTCATCGGTCTTGCTCGAGCCCTTTGCATTCATCTCTGTGCTGGGTAGAACAAACTTTCTGTTGTTTATCTTCGAATGTAACTCAGCACTACAAAGGTTATTGATCAATGTCAGAATTTTTGCTCTTTTTCTACAAGTGAAACTGTCACCCATATAATTTATTAATACTATAAATGGGACAGTATTTATTAAGTATGAGAAAAGGGGCAGGGAGACAGTTCCAGCCCTTTCCTGTGAAGTTCTTGGAGAGAACGAAAAAAAGTCGAAGAACAAAGGTTATTTGGCTTTTTGAATTGTGAAGTTTTCTCCTTCAGTTCCGAATGGAATGTACAGCCACGTACATAAGAGTTTGTCATTTTAACTTTGGCTCAAACCTCCAATTTTCAGGACCCAGTCCTTTCTCACTCTTTTTCAAAATTTTACTTTCTTTTTTTTNNNTTTTTTTTCCTAGTTGAATCTTCAGAAGTACGATGAGGCGGAACCAATATGTAAAAAAGAAATTTAGTTGAACTATCTAACTCATCAATACAAAAAAATCAACTAAACTTAACTCCAACCTCAGTTTTTACCTGCTTTCCTGCAGAACTTGAATCGTACCTTTACCCTATTATGCCTAGGTCAAAGAATTTCTCAGCGTTTGCTTCTTTCATTTTTTTCACCCATTCAATGATCTCTATGGTAATGAGTTTATACGGCGTGGAAGTAGATATGTATGTATGTAGATGGACGTGCTAATGGGATGACTGACTCTTGTACCCTTTAGGTTATCGGGGGAACAAATTATGCCAACACGAATCAAGCAAGCCTTCAACATGGCTTCCGTCCGCCGCGAGTACGTACGTAGGCAGGCAGGCAGGCAGGAGATTAACGGGAATCTTGTCAGATAATCACGAGTTAATCACATAGGAAAAACTCGCTCTACTTACTCAATTATCCGTTGCGATACTGGGGGACCGACAGAATGCACCCGCACCTGAAGCTTCAGATAGAGCGGTCCGGGAGACAGTGGAAAAAATCCAGGATTTTTCCATGTATTCTCTGATTTTTGCCTTTTTCAGCTCAGCCGGCAGTACAGCTCCTCCATCACCACGATTTCAACAATGCAACGACGAAATGAACCCGTTGGATTCACAATCGTCCCAGGATCAGTCGCCTCCACCACCACCACTTCTGACGATTCCCTCATTGCTGTCCCCGTACCCGGATTCAGCCTCTCCTCCTCGTTCCAACTCGGTCGATCTGTCGACCCTTCGACGGGACATCGAACTGCTGTCGATTTCATCCGGTGACAGCCCTTCTGAATCCGAATTTGAACCACCAACACCAGCTGAGAGCGTGAAGACAGTGAGATCGCGAAGTCATGATCCAGCCAATGCAGCATCGGTTCTACGACGACCAAGCAGAATCGAGCATTTGTCCGAGCTGTTCAGGTGGCACAACGAATTTTATCGAGATTTTTTTATATATGATGATGTCAGTGTTGTGAATTGTTGTACTTAGTGGAGCACTGTATCCAGAGTAGGTAGTTTCATTGTACTTATAATAATTTATAACCTTATATACTTTCGAATATTTTGTCATTATTTTTATTAGAAAACTTTTTTCATTTGATTGAACAAACTTCCTCTCATTAATTCGACAAAAATTCAGAAAGGCTCTAGCAAAGTCACCGGTAGTGAGGAGGACTGCCGTTGAACAGGAGCGAATGGTCAACAAACATAGGACCAGTCGGTATTGGCTTGACGAACAGGTACGTCAATCGGGATAGAACCAAGTTAGTGAATTAAGATTCGGGAGGGAGGGAAAGTTGGGAGGTTGCGTACGATTACTCGAAAAGAAGGTTCAGGCCCGATAAGGCTCGGTCGTAGCTGTTCCTTAACCTAGTACGCCTCCCATTGCAATACAACTCATCACCAGAGCACAGATGGGGGAAGAGTTGTATATAATACCATGGTGGACGGGGTCTGGCTAAAAACCGCTACGAAGAAGAAGTATGCAGACTGGGCAATATACTCGTCTGGGAGGAAAAACCACTGATTTGTACATCAGCTGGCCATCGTAGGTCATTCTGTAAGCCACATACGAAGTAAATATGCCATTCGATCTGAGTGTAAATCAAATGCGGGCACATCCCAGAGTTCCGGGATTTATTAATGCCAAAGACTTCAGCCTTCATCCTTTCGCTACTCTTTAGTCTTGTCATCGCCTTGTCGCTTGTCATTTCTACTAAATTCAATATACTATAATGTCTGATGAGTCACTGTTTTGATTGGCACTTCTCTTTTTTCTATTTATCTTTCCGATAAGTCTCTCTAAAGGCTTCTCCTAAGTAGTCGTAGAAGGTCACAACTAGTCTGCTTTGATGTATGCATTGAGTAAGGCAACTTTTTGTTGATTTCATTGAATTTCCCTAAGCGACAATGTATGCGTTGTCCGCCGGCAAAGACAGATGGGATTAGCTTTAGGAGTAATGTCACCTTTTTATGTCCGTTAGAGAAGAAAAGAACCATTTCCGATAGAATCTTTTTCAATCCTGGGTGTTCTAAGCGGATAAACAACTTAGCATCGGCTAATCCTTTTTACGTCACGTCCCAGTTTTTCCTTCACACTCTTCGGTATGCCTCATAAGCTTTGAAAATGTCCAGGATAGAGTGGGAGAGAGTGAAAAGAAGGGTTGAGAAAAAGGGCCGGGGGACATCAAAACAAATCTCTGATCCTCCATCAAATGGATTCGATACAAGCTTCATAAAAGCGTGTCTTTGTTGAGTATTTTTTCATCAAACACTACTGAGGTCCACAAGCCGGGGTTTTCAGGGAGTCCCCGGATGATCAGATTTCATTCACCTGTCACCTGCCTTCCCGTTAACTCGTCCCCCTTGTAAGCCAGAGTCCCCCATTGGATCGTCGTCGCTTGAGGGCACACT